ATCCGAATAAGACATTCATGAGCTACGTCGTTGGAAGACCGGGAATCAGCTCCATTGAAAGAAAACAGATCGGAGCAGAATTATATTTCAGAGGTTTGGATTCTTTGAAGATGAAAGGAAACAATAAATACAATGTATAGTAGCTTTGTTAGGGTTGGCGAATTGTAAGTTGTATGGGATCCAAACTTTTACGAATTGTAAGTTGTATGGGATCCAAACTTTTATAAACTTTACAATTTTGGAATTAGTACAATACTAAGTTTTTGTTTTTTTTTTTTAATTTTATTATTATTATTATTTATTTATTTTTTGTGGGGGAAAGAAGCAATACTTGCTTTATAATATATATAAATAAATAATGATTAGTTAATTTCCTTTCTAAATTCTCGTTCTTCTGTGTGCAATTGATTGCATAAATTATCTATGGTTTATGTTGTACAAATCTACGTGGTTTGCGGTAAAATAGTGTAATGTAATTCTAATAGAATATATTGTTTTCTATTTTCTTATTTGTATTATAACTAGTTTTTTACGCACTTTGTGCGAATGAGATAATAATAATTATTTTTAAATAAGTATTCCAAAGTATATCAATGCAATATTATATAGGAGATTTTCATGCATATGTAAATAAATGTTGAATTTGTTTATTTAAATCAGTAATTTAAAATATATAAATGCAAGATAATATATGAGAGATTGCTTATAATTGTCACTAAAATAAATGTTTGCAACTTTGTAATAGCGCTAGTCTAAATACTTAGTTTTAAAGCGATAGTCTAAATAAATACTACTTTTGGTTTAAATTTCTCTAATTCTTCTTAATTCTTTTTTGGGTAGCATTTTTATTGTTTTCATCTTCAGTACATGTCCTCTTTTTTTCTTTTTCTTTTATTTTTTTATTTTTTATTGATAGTGTTTCATGTGCAATTAGGTTACTGGTAGCAGCATAGAGGGATTCATCACGCAATGAGATTATGGTGTAGGAAGTTTTAGATTTACTTTGTTGTGTATATGACTGAGATTTTAGTTGTAATATGAACTCTTTAGCGTACAAACACCTATTGATATTTAGTAGTGGTAGTTTTTTTCCTACATGTTTCATGTGTTGTGAGATGTGTGTCGCAGGTTATCATGTGAAAGTATTGAACGAAATATTAATATTTATTATATTTGTATAAAATGCTTGGTAAATAAATAAATAAAATAAATAAATAAATAAATATATATATATATATATATATATAACATGTTTTGTATTATAACTTTGATATTTAATTACAAGATAATGTAAAAAAGAACACAATGAACAATGTAGTGAATATAATAAATTAATAAATTTGAAGGTAAGGAATCTTTGAATTGTAGAAAATAAAGATAATATAACTAATGAAATTATATTTTTTAAAATTTTTTTATAATGAATAATTTTTTTTTTAAATAAAGCATTATAGACATCTAATTCTAAATTTTTTTTTTAATCCAAAGGAAGGGTGTTACCCATATATTTATGAAGAAGTAAAAGTACAAGAGTTTATTTATATTGCGAAATATCGCCAAAGGAAAAAAGAGCTGCAATCGTATTCTAAGTAAGGAACGATTTCTGTTGGAGGATTAGGTAGTATGTGGATGCCACGAGGACGAGAGACTGCTAATTTCGCCAGAGCATCCGCCGTGGCATTTTTGTTCACAGGAGGTATCCAAGCAATTCTCCCAATCTCTTATACCCTGCAATTCGCGTCTGCAGGTGGCCAGAAGGTTGTGTACCAGGGAGTTTGGTAGAGAGTTGGAAGTGATACCATCAACAATGGCCTTTGGAGTCGCTTTCCAAAATAACCTGTTGGAGATCAAGAGCTTTGGCGAGTTTGGATGCCTCTTAGAGCTGCCCAAGCCTCCGCCATAAGTGGAGGACAAGAGCCAATATTGCTAGTGAATCCTCCAATCCATTTTCCCAGAACTGTCTCTTGCAAGTCCTCCGCAGCCTGCCGTGGAGCATTGAGGGTGTACACTGCCATCAAACATTGATCTTGCTGTAATTCTCTTGGGGTTTTGTTCCACTTTGTACATCTAATTCTAAATTAATTAAATGCATATGTATTGTTTTTTGGTTGTAGCAACTAATTTATTTAATTAATAAGAGTAATAATGTGTCGTACATACTTTTCTTCAACAATAATGAAATCAATGATTTTTTTTTTTTTAATTTCCATTCCTTGTTGAGACAAATTGTTTTTGTGAGTTTGTCCATAACAATTGCTACAATTTGCTGTTAATAGAGGATGATAATAAATAATTCAAAATATATGGTTACAGTAGATATTAATATAATGGTATAGTAAAAATTAACTTACAAATTTTTTTAGAAGTTTTCATGCATTGATAAAATTTTGATGTGTAAACTTGTTCAATTGGAGCTAGTAGGATGTTAACATTGTCAATTATTTGAAAATGATCCTACCGTTTTAGAGTCCATGTGTAATTGTATTTATGATCAACAACTTTGTAGTTAGGCCCGCGCAGGTCTGACAATGATATAAGAACATTGTCCGATAAAAAAATAATAGTATAATATTAGTAATGTAATGTACAATTGTACCATTATAAAAAAAAAAATACAAAAAAAAAATATTAATACCATAATGGCCTAAATCATTCCAATAATTGCAAAATCATAATTGAAATATTAAGTTTTGTTCTAAATAATCAGAAGAAGATTAATTTTAAAAAAAAAAAACTTAACATAAATTTGTTTTTTTTTTAATAAAAAAATTCAAGAAAATCAAATAATTTTAAAGTAGTTCCTGATTTATAATATTTGATGCTCAACTTTGAATGCTATGTATTTAGTCGAGCTAATTATTTGACCAAAGTTTTATGTTAAATTTTATATTATATATTTTTTTAATACATTTTAACATATTCATAATATATGTTTAACAATTATGTCAATTATACTTGGGATGAGGTTCGAACCTAAGACCTTATATAAATTAAGAGTATGTTAAGAATAATAAATAGTTAACGGAATATATGTTTAACAATTATGTCAATTATACTTGGGATGAGGTTCGAACCTAAGACCTTATATAAATTAAGAGTATGTTAAGAATAATAAATAGTTAACGGAATATTCCGTTACTAAAGTTTAAACTAACGGAATTTAGGGTTATTTAAGGCGAAGAAAATAATATAATAGAGGGTAAATAAGGAAAATCATTAAAAGATACTAAAATCAAAATAATATGAACCATTCATTTTAAGAAACAATCAGTACCGACATTTTTTTTTGTTCCAGTTAAGGGCCTAACATTATTCGCTCTTATTAGATTTGTAGATTCTACATTTGAATTCTTATTATAATATATTGTAAAATAGTGTAATATAATCTCTAATAGAATAGTGTAATACAATTCTAATAGAATATATTGTTTTCTATTTTCTTATTTGTATTATAATTCTACATTCGAATTCTTATTATAATATTGTAAAATAGTGTAATATTATCTCTAATACAATTCTAATAGAATATATTGTTTTCTATTTTCTTATTTGTATATAATTCTACATTCGAATTCTTATTATAATATTGTAAAATAGTGTAATGCAATTCTAATAGAATATATTGTTTTCTATTTTCTTATTTGTATTATAATTCTACATTCGAATTCTTATTATAATATTGTAAAATAGTGTAATACTATCTCTAATAGAATATAGTGTAATACAATTCTAATAGAATATATTGTTTTCTATTTTCTTATTTGTATTATAATTCTACATTCGAATTCTTATTATAATATTGTAAAATAGTGTAATGCAATTCTAATAGAATATATTGTTTTCTATTTTCTTATTTGTATTATATTCTACATTCGAATTCTTATTATAATATTGTAAAATAGTGTAATGCAATTCTAATAGAATATATTGTTTTTTATTTTCTTATTTGTATTATAATTCTACATTCGAATTCTTATTATAATATTGTAAAATAGTGTAATATTATCTCTAATAGAATAGTGTAATACAATTCTAATAGAATATATTATTTTCTATTTTCTTATTTGTATTATAATTCTACATTCGAATTCTTATTATAATATTGTAAAATAGTGTAATACTATCTCTAACAGAATAGTGTAATACAATTCTAATAGAATATATTGTTTTCTATTTTCTTATTTTTATTATAATTCTACATTCGAATTCTTATTATAATATTGTAAAATAGTGTAATACTATCTCTAATAGAATAGTGTAATACAATTCTAATAGAATATATTGTTTTCTATTTTCTTATTTGTATTATAATTCTACATTCGAATTCTTATTATAATCTATATATCTATATATATATATATATATATATATATATATATATATATATATATAAAAGTAAAATTCTCCTAACAAATTTTCCCCCCAAAACTTTTGTAGTAAAACTTATTTGGTAAGTAATTGTCAAATGAAAATTAAATAAAATCTATTAATTGGTAATATTATATATGGTATTATATTCTATAATATAATATAATTGATAATATTATTGTTCAAGTATAATAAAAATATTATTGTTCAAGTATAAAAATAAAATCTATATCTATATATTTATAAAAGTAAAATCCCCCTTCACAAATTTTCTCTCCAAAATTTAGGGGCATTTGTGTAATATCTAAATTTAATTAATTAAAGAAATTATATATAAGATTTTAAGGGATATTCCATGTGCAGATTAAGTAAATTAAAGAAATTATATATAAGATCAAGGGATTATTCCATGTGCAGATTAAGTAATAATATATATTAGGTTAGAAATTATATACAAGATTAAGAGATATCAAGTATTAAGTAATAATATATATTAGGTGTATGAATAATATATATTAGGTAATTGGTAAAGTAAAGTATTAAGAAATTTACGTGTATACATACATTATATAAAGTAAATTAAATTTAGGTGTATACATACATTTAAAAAGTAAATTCTGTGTAGTAAATTAGGTTAATATAATCATAATTCTCATATTTTCTACCTATAAATATAATGGATTGGTGAGTTTGGAAATCATAATTTTTCCTTTTGCACTGTTTTCATCTTCTTTAATTTCTGTTCTCTCTGTGGAATCATATCTTGGTGTTGCACTCATAAAAACGTAAGTATTTTTTTATACAATTTTCAAGATTATTATTATTATTATTATTATTATTATTATTATTATTATTATTATTATTATTATTATTATTATTATTATTATTTTGCAATTGTAGCTTGAAGTGTTTTTAGTGCCGAAGGATCCAACGGATTGGGCGTTGATGGAGACCCTGGTAACATTGACTACAAAGCTGATTTCTTAATTTTCCGACAGCAAGGAAGGACCGGCGTTTTCCTTATCAGAAATCAAACTCTTCTCCTCATAGGCAACGAAGCGCTTTGCCGAACCGGAAATTGATTTTTTTTATATGATGAGTTTGAATTTACTTGTGTTCATCTATCTCTAACTCTTGGGTTTGTTCACTATTGCACATGTAGGTCCAAACATACATTAAAGATATTATTTAGTATCCCATGTGTAATTAATGTATAAGAAATGTTATAGAATATAATGGAACTCTCATATCATAATACATACTCCAGTTTGAAGTAGTATCCCGATTTCTTACAAATAAAAATTGATGATTAGGAAAATGAAGGTGATAGTATTCAAAAAAAAAAAAAAATGTAGGTGAATATGGTTTTGATTATAGATGAAAAATAATAATAGTAATAATAATCATTAAAAAAGTTAGCAGTAAAATATAAAAAAAATCCTTAATTCATGGAAAATGGAAAAGTAAATGAAATTCACTGATTAATCAGTAAAAAAAGTTAGCACAAAAATAAGAAAATAAAAAAAAAATACGCAATTCTTTAAAAATGGAAAAGTAAATAGCATTCACTGATTAATTAATATTAATAATAATAAGTAAAATAGGAAAATATAAAAGGATCCTTAATTCATTGAAAATGAAAAAGGAAAGACAAGATTGTGCAAAAAAAAAGGTCATAATAAAGATACCAGTAAAAAAGGAAAATCCTATAAAAAATTACTAATTAATAATAATAACGATATGAAATTAAATTAAAAATAATAACAATAATAATAATAATAATAATAATAATAATAATAATATTATTATTATTATTATTATTAATGAAAATAAAATCCTCCTATATAGTTTACATTTTGAAGTAGTTTCTTGATTTCCTACAAATTAAAATAGATGATTAGGAAAATGAAGATGATAGTATTCAAAAAAAAAAAAAAAAAAAGAAGGTAAATATGAATTTGATTATAGATGAAAATAATATGTGATTATGCTGAGGCATGAAAATAAATATTTTTGTAATTAAGTAATTTTTATTTTAGCATATCTTACTATTTACTATAAAGTCTATATATTGTAACATGTTTTTCTATTTTATGTAAAAATCATATATAATGTAATTGAATTTTTATTATTAAGATATACATTTATATAATTTCTATAGTTTATCTATACTCTTATTAAAAACAAAATCCTCCTTGCTTGCATTCCCACCGAAAGAATAGAAAAGGCAAAAAGTTACTAATTAATAACACTATAATAATAATCAGTAAAAAAGTTAGCAGTAAAATAGTAAAATAAAAAAAGATCCTCAATTCAAGGAAAATAGAAAAGAAAATAAAATTCATTGATTAATTTATACTAACAATAATTAGTAAAAAAGTTAGCAGTAAAATAAGAAAATAAAAAAATCTGTAATTCACTAAAAATAGAAAAGGAAACATAATTCAATGATTAATTAATACTACTAACAATCAGTAAAATAGGAAAATAAAAAAGATTCCTTAATTCATTGAAAATGAAAAAGGAAAGGCAAGATTGTGGAAAAAAATGTCATAATAAAGATACAAGTAAAAAAGAAAAATCATATAAAAAATTACTAATTAATAATAATAAGGATATTGAATTAAATTAATAATAATAATAATAATAATAATAATAATAATAATAATAATAATGTATACTATTAATAAAAATAAAATCCTCTTATGTAGTTTCCAGTTTGATGTGTTATCCTGATTTCCTACAAATTAAAATAGATGATTAGAAAATGAAGATGAATAGATGACAGTATTTTTTAAAAAAAAATGAAGGTGAATATGGATTTGATTATAGATGAAAATAACATGTGATTATGTTGAGGCATGAAAAAAAAAATTAATTTTTTTTAATTAGGTAATTTTTATTTTAGCATATCTTCATATTTACTATAAAGTCTATATATTGTTACATGTTTTTTTATTTTATGTAAAAATCATATAATGTAATTGAACTTTTATTATTAAGAAATATATTTATAAAATTTCTATAGTCTATCTATACTCTTTTTAAAAACAAAATCCTCATTCCTTGCATTCCTGCCCAAAGAATAAAGAAAGAAAAAAATTACTAATTAATAATACAAATAATAATCAGTAAAAAAGTTAGTAGTAAAATAGGAAAAAAAAGATCCTTAATTCACGGAATATTAAATTCACTGATTAATTAATACTAATAATAATTAGTAAAAAAGTTAGCAGTAAAACATGAAAATAAAAAAGAATCTGTAATTCACTGAATAATTAAAACTAATAATAATCAATAAAATAGGAAAAAAAATAAAAAAGAATTCTTAATTAATTGAAAATAGAAAAGGAAATGCAAGATTGCCAAACAAAAAAAAAAAGGCCATAATAATGATACCAGTAAAAAAGGAAAATTCTATAAAAAAATTACTAATTAATAATAATATGGATATGGAATTAAATTAATATTAATAATAATAATAATAATAATAATAATAATAATAATAATAATAATAATAATAATAAAATGGATGTGGTATCTTAATGTGGTAGTTTCCAGTTTGATGTGGTATCCTGATTTCTTACAAATTAAAATGGATGATTAGGAATATGAAGATGATAGTATTAATAGAATAAAGAAAGAAAAAAGTTACTAATTAATAATACAAATAATAATCAGTAAAAAAGTTAGTAGTAAAATAGGAAAAATAAAAGATCCTTAATTCACGGAATATTAAATTCACTGATTAATTAATACTAATAATAATCAGTAAAAAAGTTAGCAGTAAAACATGAAAATAAAAAAGAATCCGTAATTCACTGAAAATAATAAAAGTCTCACTCAACGTCGTCCACGTGTCCCTTGCCACGTCGTACGCCAACGTTGATTTCAGCGCTAAGGTAGTGGTCGAGCTCCGTCCGCCGGCGACCACCACTGTCCCGCCATCCTCCGACGCCGCACATCCGAAGAACAGGCGGTCCTCGCCTGGCATATCGGCGCCGCGCCTCCACGTGGCGGAGAAGAAGTTGTAGATGAAAACTGAATTCAGATACCGCCGTGTCACCGGATCGCACCCCCCTATCACCGCCAGCTCCGCCCCAATACCGACCACGCTACATAACACCGGCATCCTTTCCACCACCTCCGGTATCGGCGGAAAATCATGCCAACGCCTTTTCACCGGGTCGAATAGCGTGAGCCGGAAACCCACTGTATCCAATCTGCTTAAACTAAACCTTGACTGACAGATGGCAATGACAGGTCGGGTTAGACCAGAAGCTTTCCGGCGCCGGAGGAACTCCGGCTGCTTAATCACAGCTTTCCATGCTCTACATACAGATGAAGCCTTGGGAAACTGATCAAACGAAATCCGAATAAGACATTCAAAAGCTAAGTCGTTGGGAAGACCGGGAATCAGCTCCATTGCAAGAAAACAGAGAAAAGCAAGTGATCGGAGCAGAATTATATTGCAGATTATTATATTTCAGAGTTTTGGGTTGGGTTCTTGAAGATGAAAGGAAACAATAAATAGCGTCTTTATTAAGCTTTGGGGCCAAAACCAATGTAGCTTTGTTAGGGTTGCCGAATTCTAAGTTGTATGGGATCCAAACTTTTAGAAACTTCTTTACAATTTTGGAATTATTCTATTCAAATTTTTACAAGTCCTAATACTATTTGATTTAAACTTCTAAACAAATTAAAAAAAGTAAAATAGTATTCAATTTGGACTTTGGTATTCGTGCTAGTTAAGATAAAAACATCTTATGAATTTTTAACAAATTAATATTTTCTCTCTAAATTCATTTTTATTACTTTTTTAAAAAATAAAATTAATAGTATAAAAATATATCATTAAAAATTTTAAATGATATTTTTATTTAAAAAAATAGAAATATTGGTTTTTTTTTTGTTTTTTTTTAATTAAGCTATAATTATATTAAATCACTGTCAGTGTAAATTTAGGTTACTTAAAAATATAAAAAAAAAAATTAATATCAATGTCATTTAAAAGATCTCAATTAGAGTTGGGTAATAATATATTTTTTATATATTAATTTTATTTGTATAAAAAGAAAAAAAGTACATTTAAGTTTTTTTAAAAGAAATTATGAAGTAAAATATTCAATTATTCAGAGTTTTGGGTTGGGTTCTTGAAGATGAAAGGAAACAATAAATAGCGTCTTTATTAAGCTTTGGGGCCAAAACCAATGTAGCTTTGTTAGGGTTGCCGAATTCTAAGTTGTATGGGATCCAAACTTTTAGAAACTTCTTTACAATTTTGGAATTATTCTATTCAAATTTTTACAAGTCCTAATACTATTTGATTTAAACTTCTAAACAAATTAAAAAAAGTAAAATAGTATTCAATTTGGACTTTGGTATTCGTGCTAGTTAAGATAAAAACATCTTATGAATTTTTAACAAATTAATATTTTCTCTCTAAATTCATTTTTATTACTTTTTTAAAAAATAAAATTAATAGTATAAAAATATATCATTAAAAATTTTAAATGATATTTTTATTTAAAAAAATAGAAATATTGTTTTTTTTTTGTTTTTTTTTAATTAAGCTATAATTATATTAAATCACTGTCAGTGTAAATTTAGGTTACTTAAAAATATAAAAAAAAATTAATATCAATGTCATTTAAAAGATCTCAATTAGAGTTGGGTAATAATATATTTTTTATATATTAATTTTATTTGTATAAAAAGAAAAAAAGTACATTTAAGTTTTTTTAAAAGAAATTATGAAGTAAAATATTCAATTATTCAGAGTTTTGGGTTGGGTTCTTGAAGATGAAAGGAAACAATAAATAGCGTCTTTATTAAGCTTTGGGGCCAAAACCAATGTAGCTTTGTTAGGGTTGCCGAATTCTAAGTTGTATGGGATCCAAACTTTTAGAAACTTCTTTACAATTTTGGAATTATTCTATTCAAATTTTTACAAGTCCTAATACTATTTGATTTAAACTTCTAAACAAATTAAAAAAAGTAAAATAGTATTCAATTTGGACTTTGGTATTCGTGCTAGTTAAGATAAAAACATCTTATGAATTTTTAACAAATTAATATTTTCTCTCTAAATTCATTTTTATTACTTTTTTAAAAAATAAAATTAATAGTATAAAAATATATCATTAAAAATTTTAAATGATATTTTTATTTAAAAAAATAGAAATATTGGTTTTTTTTTGTTTTTTTTTTTTAATTAAGCTATAATTATATTAAATCATTGTCAGTGTAAATTTAGGTTACTTAAAAATATAAAAAAAAAATTAATATCAATGTCATTTAAAAGATCTCAATTAGAGTTGGGTAATAATATATTTTTTATATATTAATTTTATTTGTATAAAAAGAAAAAAAGTACATTTACGTTTTTTTAAAAGAAATTATGAAGTAAAATATTCAATTATTAAGATTACAATTCTAAAATAAATTTCAAAATCTCTAAATCAATCAAGACCGATGAATTAAAATCACCAATTAAATCATTTCTCACCAAGGCACCAACAATGAAATACTACACGTCTTAATAAATAGCTATGATACGGAGTACTATTTTTAGAATATTGTAGAAACCAAGGTTCGAACCTCGGCGGCGGCAGTGTGGGAATTATGTCCAAAGTGGGCAGATTCCTTGTGCGCACCGGCATTTGGCCCTGCCTACTAACCCATTGAGTCACCGTGATTTATGATGGGGTGTGAACCCCGTGGGCTCGGGGCCCAAGAAGAAAAGAGATAAAGCCCAGACAAAGAAGGGAAGCCCAAGAAGAAAATGGAGCAAGCCCAAAAGAGATACGAGCCAAACCGAGGAGTCGGTTGGCCCGGGAGTCGGCTCGACCCGGAGGTCGGCACGGGTAGAGGGTTGGACTAACTAGCCGTTATTCCTAATTATCTACCCTTAAAAGTCCTATTTATCTACCTCATCCATAACCCCCAAATAAAGGCTACCTATTAAGTCTCCCACTTATTACCCCACTAATAACCAAGTTAATACCTATTAACTACCCTACTAAATGGTCCAACGGACACTTTTGGGGATGGGCTAGCTATAAAAAGAGGAGAAGACAAGAAGAAAGGGGGGGGGGGGGATCCACTCACTCATACACACATAGGAGGACTCTCCCAAGCACTCTTCCTACACACTTGAAGACTACTATCACTCTCCCACAACTACTCTCCCAAGAAGGCCTCATTCCACAACATACCAAGAAGGCTCCACCACTCATCCATACAAATGGAAGGACTCTTCCACACCATTCCATCACTCTTCTTATATTATTATTGCTATATTATTAGAAACACAACACTTTGTGTAGAGAATAGCCCTACAAGTATGTACAAAGACACCTACAAAATACATAGTGGAATTAGGCTTGTCACCGCCCAAAAAGGCCCGTGGTTTTCACCTTTCGGTTTCCACGTACAAAAGCATTGAGTTATATTTTTCTACTTATTTTTCTATAAACATCATGTGAAAGGTGAATCCACCGACCAAGGTTGTGTTGGACCTCCTTGGGCCCGAAAACCCAAAAACCAACAATTTACATCCTCCCACAAGCTCTGTCGGGTCGGAGGTGGGGGGCCCTTAGGGCTGGGGATTCAGTCTTTGGGGTAAGAATATTGTAGAAACTCAACGAAAAAGTATTCAAAAGTCAGTAAAAGTATGTTTGACGTATAGATTTTCATAGACTTTAATAAAATTCATAAAATTTTCCTAATAATTTAAACGCTCTCTTAAATTCTTAATTTAAACTCTTTACATGTATAGTATAGGGTAAATCCATCTAAGTTGGTCAATTTGTTAACTGGATTAATTATAAGTTTAACTCTCAACGAGAATGATCTAATTGGCCTTCTTGGTTTGAGCCGATCAATATTGAGCAACCAATTGTAATTTACCTCTATGTGGTCATTTGTCAACTAAGATCATAACGCGGAGTTTACTCATCAATACACACCCTCGTAGGTTTCCCTCGTCACCTAAACTCCATTAAACTACATAGTATATCTATTGATAAATCTAGAAAACTAAATCTAAAACTAAACTCTTAAATACATAAAAGCGAACCCCTAAACCAAATTTTTTAAAAAAATATCATAAATTTTAAAAGGTGAACTTTGAGTTGAATAATTTTCATACTCAGTGCATGCAACTAATGATATCGTTAGGTGCATTTTATATTATTGTTGGGTGTATTTTGTGTATTTTGAGTCTGTTTGGCAGAGCTTGTTTAGGAGCTTATAGCTTATTTTAAACTACTAATAAGCTATAAGCTACGTTTGGTAATGTTAATCAAAATAAACTCGTAGCTTAAAATAAGAGCTTATTTTGGAACATTACTTTAGATAGCGTTTCAAAATAAGCTACTAGCTTCTTAACTTCTTCTTCTTTTTTTTTTTTCAATTTTGTCCTTATTATTTTAAAGAAATGACATCATTTACCTCTCAATTAAAACCATTTTCTCTTCTCCTTTATCCGCAAGTTTCACCACAAATATTATTATTATTATTATTATTATTATTATTATTATTATTATTATTATTATTATTATTATTATTATTATTATTAGATGAAGGAGATTTGCAACAATATTACTACTTCATTATAGGATGCTAGGTCATGATTATGCTAATAGTTTTATTTCAAAATGTTATTTTTTTTTGAAGACGAAATGTTAAATTTTAATATGTTTAAATTTTATGAAGATATCTTTTTTTGTCTTTTTACATTTATCAGCTTATCAAAAAGCTAATTTTACCAAACACTTCCAAGCACAACAACTAGCTTAATCGCTTTTCAGTTTTTAGCTCCTAACTTATAGTTTTTCAACTTTCTGCTCCTTTTTAGCTTTCAGCTACCTCTCCAGCTAAATTTGCCAAACATAGCATTTATATTGTTACTAAGGCTCTGTTTGGCAACGCTAAGCTAGGAGCTTATAGCTTATTTTAAGCTACTAATAAGCTATAAGCTCTGTTTGGTAATGTTCCCAAAATAAGCTCCTAGCTTAAAATAAAAGCTTATTTTGGAACGCTACTTTAGGTAGCTTTTGAAAATAAGCTACTAGCTTCCTAACTTTTTTTCCATCTTTACCCTTATTATTTTAAAGTAATGACATATTTTAACCTTATGAATTAAAACCCTTTCTCTTCCCCTATCCCAACTTTCACGTCAATCCCTTCATCTTTAGCTTATTATTATTATTATTATTATTATTATTATTATTATTATTATTATTATTATTATTATTTTTAAATTAGCAATATGGTTTCAACCAATGACAATATTTCTACTTCATTATGGGATGCTAGATCATGATCATGCTAATAGTTTTATTTTAAAAAATGTTTACTTTTTTTTTGGAAGACAAACTATTAAATTTTAATATGTAAACAAATTAATTTAAATTTTATGAAGATGTCCTTTTTAGTCTTTTTACATTTATCAGTTTACCAAAAAGCTAATTTTACCAAACACTTTCAATCATAACAGCTAGCTTAACAGCTCTTCAATTTTCAGCTCCGAGCTTATAGCTTTTCAGCTTTCAGCTCATTTTCAGCTATCAGCTCCTAGCTTATAGCAATCGTTATATCCTACACCACGGCGCACATAGCACTGTGCGCCGCGCGCCTCCCAAAACGACGTCGTTTTGGAGT